TAATTTGTATAGATAGACCACTATCTCTATAACTTTTATTACAGTATATTATTATAACTGTTCAACTGTAGTTTAGTTGTTGTTGTTAATTTCTTACTGTGCCTGATTTTAAATTAGGCTTTATCATAGGTATGTTGTATGGGGAAAAAACCCAGAATATATAGGGTTCAGTACCATCTGCAGTTTCAGGCATCCACCCTAGGAGTCTTGGAATGTAACCCCTGCACATAAGTGGGGGACTACTGTATAAAACAAATACACTAAAAGTGAAGGAAACTGAGGGAAACCCTCTTTGGATTGTTGTTTGTCCTCAATTTTCAATATGGGTTCTACATCTGAGAAAGGGGATTTTGTGTGTGTGTGTGTGTATGTGTGTCTGTGTGTGTGTGTGTGTTAAAGTATAGTCAGTTTACAGCATTGTAGGAAGGGGATCTTAAGTATCAGCCACAAATACTCGATTTAAGGTTAGTGGTTTGGAAGCTGTATTAAGAACTTGGTGTACCCAACAGCTATGATCCAAAACCCTAGTAAGTGGACATGCAGTGACATCTACTGTTCACTTCTATAATGAGCAACTCTTTTAACCTCTTGCTAAGAGGAAGCTAAAGTCACTAGCAGCACTAGCATGGATCACAGGAATGGGCATCCATTTCAGACATACTCAGCATTAAATCAAATGAGAATCTTCTTGTGAACTAGTACCATAAAAGTTCAACCTATCGATTTAACACTGTAAGCCTGGAAAGGAAGTGTAGCACTGCACTTAGAAATCCAAAACAGTGCCAAGAATGGCGGATCAGAGGACTTTCATTCAAGACTTTCATTCGAGGCCCAATCTTGTAAACCAGTATGATATAGGCCTGAAAGAACAATTCAATGGCAGGCAGCCTAAGGGAGACTCATTCTATACTCTCCTATTCGAGGTTTCTAACTAAAGGCAACATTCCTTCACTCTACTGTTCATTTTCCCAAGTGAACATGCCTTGTCTTACAATACATTAATTCCTACTTTTTTGTCTTCCACCCGTTTTCCAAAATTCTTTAGAAGAACATCATACATTTAGCATACTCAGCTGCAGGTCATAGGCTTCTTAGCTCATGTTCTCTAAGCTCAGGAAACTAAACACTTATGAGAAAGGACAGATTTTTCTGAAGGCTGTTATCAGTATATGAGACTAATGACATCTCCCCCTGGCTTTGGGAACTAAAACTTCTTTAATATAATTCCCTGAGCCTTATTAATTGAGCCACTGCACTCCCTTTACCTTGGCTATTTTTCCATACTGTTCACAGGTTCTACAGAGTAACTGTAAAAGGAATGTCACTTAAGAAGCCACTGATAAATAAACACCAATAATAAACACTCCAGTTCTGATTCTCTAAACTTATTATCATGATGGGTCATTATGAACAGCAAAACATGCCTTCTACATGGTACAATGTGAGCCCTCTAAGATATTACACTTCTAGACCTCACATTTTAGAATGTATTCATCTCATACATAATGTGCGTGTGTGTTTTAAATCAAACAAAGAAAAAGAATAACAAATATGGGCCCAATAGGCTTATTTCAGAGAGGTTGGCCATTTCCAATTCTTGCCAAAACACTTGATTACTGAGATTAAAATTGCCAGTCAGATATTTTACTATCTCTGATGATAAAACCACAATTGTAAAAACCTTAGGGGCCATCTAATGGAACTGCTTCACTTTCTAGATGAAGGATCTGAGGTCTGGAGGTAAAGTGATGGTCCCAAGATCAGACTTCAAGTTAGAGGTTGACCAAGATGATGACCAAGAACTCCTAGCTCTTATTATAGCTTTTTAAACCCCTACTTATCTCTTCCTAACAGGAAATTGAGGAACCAAGTGTCAGGGAACCAAAGCTATA